GCACTGCACTGCTATAAGTCTGGGGGTCACTCTGTGTGACTTACCCAGGTGAAGTACTGGGGTAAGATGTACAGGTGTAAGCCCTGTTTTGCACTGGTGTGCAAATAGCTGGGGTTTGCTCAGGTCTAACTACATCAGTGTTGCTACATTGGTGCTGACTTCTGTAGTCTGCCCAAGTTGGTGACAGCCGAGGAACAATCGCTGCTAAGGAAGGACATGATCCTGTTCTTGGACTGGATTTACAGCAGTGAAATTCCACTGACTTCGTTGGAGCAGCTCCTGATTTACTGCAGCATGAGATGTCTGGCTAGTATCCTACAGACAAAAAAGGGGGGTGGCTTGGGGGGGCTAGATTATGGGTTTAAGGTGTGTCCTTCCTTGTGGGTGAGTATCAGGGTGGTAGCCGTGTTAGTTTGAATCTGTAAAAAGCAACAGAGGGTCCTGTGGCACCTTTAAGACTAACAGAAGTATTGGGAGCATAAGCTTTCATGCAAGTCTTGCATCTGAAAAAGTGAGGTTCTTACCCACGAAAGCTTATGCTCCCAATACTTCTATTAGTCTTAAAGGTGCCACAGGACCCTCTGTTGCTTCCTTGTGGGGGTTATGATGCAGCTGCACTGAAGGGGGAGCCCCTAGGGAACTGCAAAATTCCTCCACAGCCTCTGGAGGAGTGCATGGTGGAGCGGCAGCCCACCACCAATTTGAAGGGCATAGTGTGTATCCAGCTCAACATGGATGTCTGTACTGAGAGGAGCAGGCTCCACCTTCTTTGGGTTGTCTACAGCCAGTTGGGTTAGCCTGGAGCATCCCTACATTCAGGGAGTGCAAGGACAGTAACTGTAGTTGACCCCTGTTGCAACAACACAAGGAAGAGAGCGGCTCCTCCGCTCTCTCTTTCTTCTCCCTTACCCCCTTACACAAGGCCATCACAAACTGCCCAGATTATTTGTGGTTGTCATATTTATAAAACTGCTCAAACCTCTGTCTTGCAAAAACCCCACAGGAACAGAGGAGGATGCAGCTGTGAATCCATCTAGACTGGTCTATAAGTGGCCAAACCCACATGCAGAGAATAGCATAATAGGTCATGTGAAATAAGATGCCTGTTGGTGGTTTCTGCTCTAAAAATCTGGCAGTTAGTGGTCAGCACATACCTTGAAACAGGCTGGTTCATATGCCCTTTCCATACTTGTATCCTGTCTCACTTAACTGTGGATGTTCTCATTAGCCAGATAAATACCTAAGCCTACAAAGCTGCTGAGCTCTCGGCCTCTGATACAACATATAATGCTCCTGTCACAAGGTTAGAAAGTGTTTCCTCAATCAGTTTTAAATGTGTTGCTTATCAGTTTTATGGTGTTCTTGCATTATGTGGAAAGGTAAATTTACCTTTTCTCATTACTATCTACACTGCTAGCAAGTCCCCGCTCTAACTTAGACAGGCTGGATAGTCAGTGCAGAGTAGTGAGGGCTACAAGATGTAATAAGCCTTCACTGAGTCCTTAAGGATTATCCTTAGGCAGGTAGATGAATTACTACACCTACCAGGTGGCATAACCTTGGCGGGACCCAATAAGATGGAGCCTTCAAAAGAAGGTAAAAAGAACAGGAGTACTTGTGGCACCTTAGAGACTAACAAATTTATTAGAGTATAAGCTTTCGTGGACTACAGCCCACTTCTTCTGAAACCTGTCAAAAGAAGGTAGTGACTCCCACCTCCTTTCCTACCATAACAATCCTACATAAGGGGAAAAAATATTGACCCTGCATGCAATACATAAGGAAAATGGAACTTAAAAAGAGGAATGGTATAAGCACCTGTGATGTTATTAGGCACAGCCAGAGATTGGATTAGATAATGAGAGGCTCCGGAGAAGGGTAAACTTGGGCATTTCTGTTCTATTCTGTATAGGTTCTTATACCACTCTAATCATCATAGGATCTGCACACCTTCCAGTAGCACATTAAGTGTCATGACTAAGACTACGATTTTGTCACGGGTTGTGGAAGTCACTGAATCCGTGACTTTGAAAGACCTCTGTGACTTCAGCCCCAGCGCCTAGGAGCTGCAGGGTCCTCCCGCAGCAGCAGGGAGCTGTGAGGTATACCTGCCATCTGAGGCAGCGGGGCCCCCAAGCTCTAAGCCACCATGGACAGCGGGGGTATCCCGCAGCTCCCTGCCACTGCAAGCAGCAGAGGGGGGACCCTTGCAGCTCCCTGCTGCCGCTGGGGGCAGGGGGACCCTGCAGCTCTGAGCTGTGGGTGGAGGGGGGCTAATGGCTTCATGCCCAGGTTTATCCCATTGCTGTAAACCAGATGGGAAGTGATGAAAGTGTGTCTAACTGAGCCCAGCTCATCATCCACCAGGATGGGACAGGGTCTCCTAGCCAACAGGAGATAGTAGAAAGCATTTCTTGCAGATGCTGCTATGTGAGAACTTAATGTCAGTGAAGAATCCAACAGCACTCTTAAGCTATTGACTGAATTGACCAATTGGGTGTGTGTGCCTTCAGTCAAAGGAGTCTGCACCTTGGCTGCAAACTCTTAAAAGTGCTTTCCTTTGCCCACCAGCAGGGCTCAGCTTCAGCCAGTTGTTCTTCATCCATGAGCTGATCTCATCCAAGCATTGGGCCATCTTGGTGGTAGTGGTGTGGTCATATATGGTGGAGAATAGGTAGAGTTGTCTCATCTTCATATTGTTGGCACTTGAGTCCATGTAGTCTGACCAGTTCATCACTGGCCATGGGTAGATGCTGAATAGGACCAGAGAGAGAATTTATCCTTGTGGAACCCCATAAATGAAGAGTCTAGTCATGGAGGTTCAATTTCCTATCACTATTCTTTGAATACACCCCTCCAGGAAGGACTCAGATGATTTCAGTGCATTAACCTGGACCCCTGCCACCTCTCTGAGGCAGGATAGCAGTATCTCAGGTCAAGAATGTTGAATGCTGCAGAGATGTCCAGGAGGATGAGAATGGATGTCTGCCCTCTATCCATTGTCAGGAGAAGATTATCCATCAGTGCCACTAAAACTGTTTTTTGTCCCAGATCCTGGCCGGAATCCAGATTGTGCCAGGTCTAAGATATTGACTTCAGTCAGGAGAGTTTGTAGTTGGCCTTTGACTAGCATCTCTATGAGCTAGCTCAGGAATGGAAGGTTTGAGATACTGGGTGGTAGTTGGCTAGAACCAATGCATTTGGGTTGGCTTCTTCAGTGTTGATAACACTACTGCATGTCTGAAGGAACAGTTCCTTAATTGAATTAGACCTTACCTTAGACCTTAGTCCATCCCATGCTTTGCTGCACATTGGACTGTGGTATTAAGTGGTGGTTTGGGTTTATTCCGGAGACTGGGCTCTGTGCTTTCAAACAAGTACCTTCAGCATGTATAGCCCTCCCTAATTGGCTTTCAAATGACAAATACCAAAGGCGCCTTGCTGCCACGACCGCTGCCCCCACCATTATTCTCACTACCACTATAACCACCACCCCTGTAACAAATCCTAATACAAACAATACTGTATACTCTAATAAAACCCAATGGCCAAGGCCCTTACACCTTAGTAATCCCTATGGGATGGTGCCAATAGTGCAGCAGCAATTTAAAACATTTACAAAGGCCACCCATGTAATAAAAAATTAAAGCAACTAAAAAAGGCCACAGGTCTTCTTATTAAAGCACAGTTAACCCAAGTACATGCTGGGATTAGTAAATTACATGTTATTTCTGCCCTTAGCTCAATAACCCAAAAGCTGTTAACAAAAATAGTATTAAATATCCCAAAGGCAAAAAAAAAAAAAATTTAGCAGTGGAATCTAGCATGTTTTCTTAAAAAAAAAAAAGGGGGGAAGGGGAGGGGATTTTTCTGAATGACCAGCTTATGGCCATTCAAAGTAATGTCAAGCAGCATCAGGCGTGGCCTACTGCCCTTACAGTGCTTCAGAAATGCCATCTAATTTGTGGCCATAGAAACGTACCTAAAAGATTTTCTGGATGGAAGTGCAGACGTTCGCAGTGCTCCTTCCAAGCATACAGGCCGGTTAAAGGGGTGTGTCACTGTTCATAACAATGTTTGTTAAAAAAAAATAAAACAAAAAACTATCCTAACAGAACACCTGCTTTTCCAAGCTAATAGTAGCTTTGTGTATATTAAGGCCACCACTTTGCAAGACATACATTTTAATCTCACCACTGCTGCAGGAAATAATATCATTTATTGGCCTGCAAATAAAATTCTACAATCAGCCTTTAGGTTCCAAATACCCTTTAATTGGACTGTCTTAGCACCTAATCATTCCAATATTTGCCTTTACTCCTACCAAAAGTTCAAAACATTTCTAAATTACAAGGGCAAATTCATATGCTCCAAAATATATATCAAATTAAAGACTATGCTTTTCTTACAGCCTATAAAGTGTCTATATACTAAGTATAATGTATTGTGTTCTGTGACTAAAGTTGTACAGCAACCCCATTATATTATTACAATAAAAATGTTAATGCTTTTATTGTTGTTGTTTAGTTTAAAGTTAAGTTGTTGTTGTAAAAAATGTACTAATAGCACCTTCCATGTTCATACTAACCATGCTTTGTCATTGTATTTAATTAAACCCCCAAAAGTTATACTGTACCATGTAAGCTAAAGTCAAAAATAAAAAGTTTAATAAAAATAAAAGTTTAAAATGAATAGTTGTGCTAAAAGCACAAAAGTGGGGAGTATGGAAGTTGGGAAAAGAGCAGACATCTTAGTCTTCCAGGAAGAGCAACAGTCAGGCTGACTAACCGCTAATAACACGAGACTTCCAAGCAGGGCCTGGGTGAGTGGAAAAGAACTGTAAAAGATGCTGGTTTTCAACCTTGTGTTAAATAAAAATAAAATGCAAAGTGTAGCAAAAATTGCTTAAAAAAAGAATATGTATAAACAAAATGCAGTTGTTGATCATTACTGTATGTCACAAAAGGTATAAATGCCTGCCTTAATTGTTTATCTGACGGAGACCTGCCTCGGGAGGGGAACCCTGCCCATGAGTACTCTCCGCTTGCAAGTGTTAAAAAAAAAATAAAGCTGCCTCTGGCATGTTGCAACCAACCTCAAAGTAAGAACTTGTTTTTCTCCCAGAGCTCTAATATTGTGTAATAAGTGCATCTGAATTATTTGCACCCTCAATAAATGTCACTTGGACTGAATATATGGTTGCACCTGCAGAGCAGGTACATGGATATCTAAGCGACTAATCGTACCCACTTATAATTGTGCCCACAATTTTATCCTTTGCAGTTTTTTGCATTTGTAAAATCATGAGTGCAAAAACAGAGTCTAGTTAAGCCTGAGCTGAAAATGTGCACCAAAGGACCCATTTTGCCCCCACATAAATTCCCACTGAATTTGATGGGAGGTTTGCTCTTATAATTGAAATCCGGATTAGAGGCACAAAGGGATGGACACTTGGGTTCAGCTATACTGATGCAGGAACTGACCTGAGGAGGGAGGAAATAGTGGCTGTAAGCCATCTACACACCCTGCCCCAATCCTGGAGCTAACTGGAGGTTGTTTTGGACTCTAGGATGATGTAGAGCAGCTCTAAGGCTAAGTTGCTACAGAATTATAGGTCATTAGGAGTTGTTACACCAGCTCCTTTCACCCACCCACCTCTAGCCTGCCTATGACATGGAGTGCTGGGGATAGAAGTATAGAGACAGTTACACTGGCTTTATGCCACCTATGGATTCCCCTAATCCTGAGGCCAGATACTGTGTTCAAAAGCTATTCTAAAATCATCTTATAGTTATTAGTGTATTAATCAACCCATTCTGAGGCTCTCCTAATCTTGTAGCAGTTTTGTAAACCAAGAACAGAAGAGTACTTCCTTTGCACATTTCCTGAAGAAGGCTTTGCCACAGCAGTTTGCATGTGTAGCCTTTTCTGACTGTTCAGTTCCATATTTTTCAAATTCAACAAAACATATGACCATAAGGTAGCAAAGCTGTCTTCTGCCCTTTCCCTTCCTATTAACCACACACCCATACAGCGGTAGCTAAACAGTTCCTTTTAGGGAGAAAACATTGTAGACTGCTGTATGCATGAGCAGTTCCATTAAGAGGGAAAATGGAGTTATAACTAAGACTGCACCTGGATGCAGACTCCTGTCTCATTTTAATCCAGTAATAGACACGATGCTCTTCACACTCTGCTGCTGAAAGCAAAAAAACACGTGGAGAAAGGATCATTGTGTTTCACTTGCATTGCAATAAAATCTAAGTTTGAAAGCTGTTACATAGCAGATGGCTTTTAATATGCTGTTGCACATCCGAGACCTCGGCAGTTCCTTTGCAGCAGTCTCCCAGAGCTCCAGGAGGCAGAAGGGTGCATTGTGTGCTCCCCTCCATTGCTGCTAGGGCTATGACCCAGTCTCACCGCCACTTCCTTTGCAGCAGTTGCTGCCACCATGCAGGAGCAGCCCTTACCCCTCAAGGGAGGGCAAGGTCTTCTGTGCCAGGATCAGCCATACCTGGAGGTGATGGGGGGGAAGTGCCTTTCCCCTCCTCCCCCCTTGTACACCCACACATTGGCCAACCCCAATGCTATCGATAAAGAGGATGCTCTGTCTGATTTTTAAAGCACTGGCTTTAATTCTTTATTTTTTATTTTAAAAAGCAATATTTAAAATATCTGAATGAAATCAATATCCACTATTAACTGACCTGTAGAGAAATAACTATATGGTTCTGATCCTGCTTCCCCTGAATTCAATAGGATTTTAGCTAAGGGGCTAAATTCAGCCCCACCCCCTAGTAGCACAGAGATGAAAATTGCACTTCTGCAATACCCCCAGGGACTGCTGCTGGTTTCTTCCTTGGGGGAGCACAAGTGGAGATGAAAGGGAGTTGGCAAATCAACCATGTCATACAGACACCCTTACTCAGGCTGAATAGTATCTTACTCTGCAGTGTTCCATTGACTTCACCGGGCTAATTCAGCATGAAGAATGAGTTGGTGCAAACAAGGCTGGCAAAATCTACCCCTGAATTAACATGCTTATGATTTGCTGCTACTAAGTGAGGTTTAATATAAGAAAATAATAAAGAGTTTTCCATGCCCTATCTTTCTGCTATCATTGTTTTTAAGCTGTAGCCAAATCAATGCAGTTTTGTTTCTGGCAGAAGCTGGAATTATCTTTATTGTATCCTTTCATGATTAAAATCTCACTATATTGCTATCTTCCTACAGAATGAAGAGATATAAGTGTCCCTTCAAGTATCCCATGAGACAAAAGATCCTGATCTTGTTTTTAGCAGTGTGGCTGTTTGCACTTCTGAAACTCCTCAATGTTGAAAGACTCTTATTCCCTCAAAAAGGTATTTATTTAGTTGAGCACTTCTTAAGCACGTCTTCTTATGTTAAAAACAAATACTCCCATCTTAGAAACAACTTCCAGTATGAAATTAACTGTTCGTGTATATATGAACAAGAACCCAGTGAAATTGGCAAGAGTTTAGAGATAAGAAGAAAAGACATAATTGATTTAGAAGATGAAGACGTTATAGCTATGACCCGCGATTGTCAGGTGTATCGTACACTTAGAGGATACCACCTAAAGCCTGTTTCCTTGGAGGAGGAAAGTTTCCCATTAGCCTACTCTTTGGTTGTTCACAAAGATGCAATAATGGTTGAAAGACTCATACACACAATATACAGCCATCAAAATATTTACTGCATCCATTATGACCAAAAGTCTGCTAATACTTTCAAATGTGCTATGGACAATTTAGCTAAGTGCTTCCCCAATGTTTTCATTGCATCTAAATTGGAGACTGTGGAATATGCACACATTTCTAGGCTCCAAGCAGATTTTAATTGTTTGTCCGACTTGATGAGGTCGTCGGTTCCATGGAAGTATGTTATTAATTTGTGTGGTCAAGACTTTCCTTTGAGGTCAAACTTTGAATTGGTATCTGATTTGAAGAAACTCAATGGAGGAAACATGCTGGAGACTGTAAAGCCAAGTAGCAGCAAAAGGGAACGATTCACATATCATTATGAACTTAAGAGCGTGCCTTATAAATACATGCAGATGCCTGTAAAAACCAACATTTCGAAAGATCCACCACCTCATAACATTGAGGTTTTTGTAGGCAGTGCCTATTTTGTTTTAAGTCGGGCATTCATCCAATATACCTTTGAAAAATCTCTTGCTAAAGATTTTTTTGAATGGTCCAAGGACACTTATTCTCCAGATGAACATTTCTGGGCAACCCTTGCACGTGTGCCTGGAATACCTGGGGAGATTTCAAGGTCAGCTCACGATGTAACAGACCTGCAAAGCAAGACTCGCCTGGTGAAATGGAATTACCTGGAGGACCACTTGTATCCTCCTTGTACTGGCACCCATATTCGCAGTGTGTGCATCTATGGAGCTGCAGAATTAAGGTGGCTTATAAATTATGGACACTGGTTTGCCAATAAATTTGACTCCAAAGTGGACCCTGTTTTAATAAAATGCTTGGCAGAAAAACTTGCCAAACAACAGAAGGAATGGGTTGATTTGTCTTCCGAAAGCTCCTTCATGCACAGAAGTTCTGCAGATGTTTCACTATAGCAGTACACTACACTCAGTAGTCAGTGTTATCCAGAGTCTGACGCTCCATTGCCTTGGGGTGTAAAATGCTACCAAATCAGAATGCTCCTTCTGCACAAGTGTAAATGACTACACAAGGTGCAATGGAGAGTCAGCCCCCAGATGTGATGTTATATGTCATGCCCTTTAAGGATCATTGTATAATTCACCAAAACAACACTGTGTCCTTAATATCTTTCAAGGTGATTCTTATAAAAATCAGCTCCACTTTTGAATGTTTTTTTGGGGGGCTGTGGCACTATTTGTGGTAATGGAATGCTTCAAATTGAGCCTGCCTGCGCAATAGCTAGGATAAGTCCTCATGTCTGTCCTCCTTATTCCCCTCTTCTTCTTTAAAAGATTTGAAACATAGGAAGGAAGATGTCCAGGTATGCTACCTCAGGAAAGCTGGAAGGAAAAAACCCAAAACTAAAATGAGTCTAAAGAGAAAGTCTGATGACCACTGAGCCATAAGCCTGATCCTGTGATCCGTCCACTCCCAATCAGTGGGAGATGATGGTGCTTAGCCATTTGCAGGATTAGACCCATAACAATGATTTTTGCTATGCGAATATGATTGGATGATATAAGAGAAGAGAGATCCTGGAACCTTGCCCACTGCATTGGAAGTAGCAGTGTTCTCACCTTGCTGTCTGTCTCTGTATTTAGTTTCCCCCTCTATTAATTTTATGCTTCCACACACTTTTCTGTACCTGTGAATTTTGTGATGGTTGATAGAGGCAGCATTACACATGGCAGTTCTTTTGAAGTCGGTATGTATTCACCGGAAATGACAGCTTTCAGAGCTCTACCTAACAGAAATCAGTGCCAGAAAATGTATTATTCTAGTTCAGTTGCCATCTCTTCCATTAGAAACATCCTCCTGCAAAACCACAGTCATTCAGGTGAGGGACACCATTTTAGGGTGGTGCACTGGGTCTATGTAGATACAGTAGGTAACAAATGCAGCTTTTAATTAGCATTCAGCAGTTTGGTGTTACATTAAAATGCAAAGTATTGACAAGTCCAGATTTTGTCCTAGCCACAGGCCCTGATCCTGAGTTGGGGCTGAGGTGTACTCAGTGCAGCTCAGGAGGGGGCTGTGCAGAAGTGGCTTTATGCCACCTTTATGTTTCCCTGGTCCTGGGCTGATCTGTGCCAGGCCAGGCTCCCACTTCAACTTAGAACCCACTTGCTTCAAATTGCTCTGGCTGCCTGTGGCCCCAAAGGTTATCTTAGTAGCCGTGGATCTTGGGGCATGATGGAGCCCTCGCCATCCCCTTCTCTCAGCTATGCCCCCTACACTGGGGGCAGGGCCAGCTCCAGGCACCAGCCCACCAAACATGTGCTTGGGGCGGCACCTGGAGGGGGGCGGCGCAGCGCTCCGGACCGAGAGCAGGGCCGCGACTGGGCTCGCCGCCCTCCTCCCGGTGCTCCGGCCGCCGGGGAGAGCGGAGCCGCAGCGGGCTTGCCGCCTTTCCCCGGAACTCTGGCCGCCAGGGAGAGTGGAGCCCCAGCCGGGCTCGCCGCTCTCCTCCCGGCACTCCGGCCGGTCAGGGAAAGCGGAGCCCCGCCCGGGCTCTCCGCCCTCCTCCCGGCGCTCCGGCTGCCAGCGGAGCCGTGGCGGGCTCGGCGCCCTTGGGCGGGGGGAGGCTTTTTTGCCTGGGGTGGCAAAAAAGCCAGAGCCGGCCCTGACTGGGGGCCAGGAGAGGTGATGGTGTAGGAGTTTCTACAGCAGCTGTTGTAACCCCCAAGTCCCACTATGCAGGGGGAAGTCATCTGAGCCCTGGATCTGTGACCAGAATAGCTTTGTACTGTCCCAGTACAGCCCAGGATCGGGTCGCAATGTTCAATAGCAGTATTGCTCTTGTCTTTATCTATCCATAAACTACTGCAGTAATACCATGCCCTGTTGTCTCATTTACAGACAGGACCAGAACTACCCTTGATGCACAGCACTCATGGAAAGTGTTTAGCTGATTGCATAAAACTGACTCAAACTGACAGGATTGAGGACATACTTAATTTGAGCAAGTTATTCAGTCTTAGCTTTAGCACATAGAGCAGCCATGGGCTAGTCACTAGTGGTTTAAGAATGGCACTGAGGGTCAGGAGTCATGGGCTTTCCTCCCAAATCTGCCACCAACTTGCTGTGTAAAGTCACTTAACTTCTGTGCCTCAATTGCCCCATCTGTAACATGGGAATAATGCTGTTCAACCACCTTTGTAAAGCACCTAGGGATCTATGGCTGACGAGTCTACTGTGGTTAAAATGATAGATTATAACAACTTCTTCTCACCAAAACTATTTATGAAGTCTCTATAAATGCATGGAACACAAATTCCCTTGCTGTTCTCACATAAATAGTAATATATTTTAAAAACTAAATGCAATTTAGGCTGGTAGCCTGCCATTACTCCTTTGGTGCTGTTCTGGTTTATCATGATAATATGGTGTATGGGGACTTTCTAGAATGGGAAGTATTGATCGTATTTACAGAGTTGTGCATTACCATGTTCACACTTGGGAACTCCAGAATACGTTGAATTATGCTGTCATATGAAAGGCAGTTAGGGTGTCAGAGGGTCAAACTTAGGCCTTGTCTATACAAGACAACTTGCACCAGTTTAACTAAATCAGTTTAAAAACACATCTTAAGTTAAGCCACTATGAGTCTGTGTGAACAAGGCCTTATATACTTCCTAGACCATGGAAAATAAGGGAATGTAGAAGTGATGCTGTCTGCTGAGTTAGTGTCCCTGGGCCCCCATCACGCTACACGTTACTGTGAAATATTTGTTTGAAGTGAAGTACAAGGTGTGCCCAGTCACAGCGCTGCGAATTGTAAATACCCTGATGAATATCTGTTCTTTTTGATGATATAATCCAAAGCTCTTCTACCTTGTGGCATGACAGTCTACAAAATGTTTTCAAATACAGTCTATCCCCAAAATTTAAGATTATTTTCCCCCCTCACTTGTAAAATTTAACATTGGCTATACGTAGATGTATAACACACACACAGTATGTAGGTATACATGCAGTGTAGAGACCCATGGCATAGTTCTGCGATAAATTATGAACAAAAAATCACAATCATTATGCATCTTTGAGGTCATCACCTGCCTCTGCCCCTCATCCATCCCTCTCTCTCTCTCGGTTGGGACTTGTTTGAAATGACTGGTATGACCCACCTGTGGCTTTGCCATTCGTGAGAAATGTGGCCATACCAAACATATGCTGAGATAAGTATAAAATTTAACGTGGGCAGAAACTTAGCATACAAACAATCAGGTATTCTACTTCAATGGGGAATTTTTGCTTATTGAGGCCAGAAACTTCCCCCACACCCTCCACAAAAGCCTTCTATATAAGTTCTTGTCCATAGCATTTTCAAATGGAAAATATATTTGCATTATTAGATGGCCTCCCATACTTCCATCCCATTAAATACAAGGTACCTGCTCATGATCCCATTACACCTCCTGTGCACAGCTCCAGTAGCACAAAGTAGGTGGAAAAGCAGTTTATCTGGCCAGCTGGGGATTTTCCCAGAGAAGGCAACATGGCAGAGATATTACCAGCAGAAAGAGGGCATGAACATTGCAGAACATTGCTGCGGTTCCTGGCTGCCAGAGTAGCCTTTGCAGACAACACAACTTAGAGCAATGCTCAAGTTGCTACTTGGACCTTCCAAGCTGTGCTGTCGCAGAAGAATGAGTCCTCGGGATCAGGCCAAAGATATTTTTAGTGGCTGGAAATGGGGGAGGTTGACAAAAGTGGTAACTATGTTCTAAGAAGCATTTTTTAAGGAAGAGGATAAAATGACCAGTTTAGGAGACCAAGCAAACCTTCTTGGTAGAGAGCAGTACTTGCCGAGCGCCTCGTTGACTTTGTTCAGGATTTGCCAGAGATTTCATCAAAGGACATTATTGTGAATGCCACAATAAAGCTGATCTGAATGTGACAACATCTAAAATTGTATTGTCTCCTCTCTCTACTATAGTTATGATTCGTATACACAATTAAAGGACACATTAATTCATTTGAGAAATATGCATATTTGGTAGGTGTGGTCATCTGTCCATCCCCAACTCCTCTGTGTCTCTATCATACACACAGTTAATCAGAGGCAGCTATTTATTTAGTAACTGCTCCTTTTAACGGTAGAGCAGTTGAATAAGTATGATACATATGAGAGTCCAAAACAAGACCCTGCATCCAGACACCCTAAATCCTGGGAAAGTTTGGATCCAAAATTTGCAGCCCAAGCTCATCTCTGTTGTTTCATAGCATTATTGCTCAGCAACTACAACTCAAGGTATTTAGACATTCTTTATCCACTGTTACCTGCACTGTCTCCATCTCAGAGTTAAGAATGTGAAAATCCATGGATTGATGATATAAAAGAAGATACACATCACTGGTGAGTCAACTGTGCCCTGCTACTGACAACCCCCAAATGAGTATGCAGTAGTATGGACTCTCCTCCTAGCTAGTTGCTGAACCTGCGTGCAACAACTCCTCCTCTCTGCTAAACGAGTGATCTAACCCTACCTCCCAGCTGCCAAACCTGTTCACAGTCATACCCTTTACCGGTGCTCAGATTCAACCCCAACTTACCAAATCCACCCATGAGTCTCACCCCACAAAAGACTCCCTGAAATTGAGAGGTCAGGGGAAAATGTGAAGGAAAAAACAAAAAAAAATCACAGAAAATGGAGAATTTCATGGCTTTGGTGGGAATTTACTTGGCTCATTGAAAGGAGATTTCTGGAGCTTGGCAGACAAGTGAATCTGCAGGTCACTTTGGCCCCAGTCCTACAATGACTGAGGCACATACTTAACTTTAAGTAGAATGGAACTTCTCACATACTTAAAAGTTAAGCACATAAGTCTTTGCAGGATTAGTGTCTCCGAGAGCCCAAATGTTGGTGTCATGGAAGTCAATGGCAAAACTCTCATTAATGCCAATGGAAGCAAGCTTTGGTACTAAGGGTCCCAAGCTGATTAATTTCCAATGAAGTCAATGGAAAGATTGATATTGACAGCAAGGGGAATTAGAGTGGGCCTTTAAAAGGTTAGCCAGCAGATTGATCAATTTTGAAAAATAGTCACAGACAACACTTGTGTAACTTGTCATGCTTATAAATGGATTGGGGTGAGAGCGGGAGGGAGATTGCCAATTTGAATGTGTGGTTCTCACTGTTCATATTTTCTTTCATGTTGGAATAAAAGGATTTTAAAAGGAAGATTAGGAAATATAGAAAATGATCACACAGTCTGTATTTGCAATAAAAAAAAAGTCTCAGTTGAGAATTTCTATGACTGCTGTATCATTAGCTTGTGTCATTTAAATCAGAATGTGGACCCATGAGAAAAGCAAAATGCAGGAGATGAAAATGGTGAGTAGA